GGTTGCAGCAGTATACTGACAGGGAACTGCCAGAAATTCAAGGTGGATTCAGAAGAGAACATGGAAAAAGTGGTATCATTGTTGTTATCAGATGGATATTGTCTGAAAGTAGGGAATACTAGAAAGATGTTTACCTGTGCTTAGGAGATACTGTTAGGTGCCACTGAGTCTGTTCTGACTCACTTAAGTACTATATAGGGTTTCTGAGGCTGCAAATCTTGACAGGAACAGAAAACCTCATCTTTCTCCCATGGAGCTGCTGGTGGGTTTGAATTGACAACCTGGTGGTTAGCAGTCCAGCACTTAGCCACAGCACTCCTAAGTGAATAGGGAATGGTTTAAAATCAGGAAAGATATGCATCAGTGTTCTTTCCATTCTCCATACTTACTCAATATACACACTGAGCAAATAATCTGAGAAACTAGATTGTATGAGGAACAATTTGGCATCAGGAGTGGAGAAAGACTCATCAACAACTTGATATGCAGACCATACCATCCTGCTTGCTGAAAGTGAAGAGGACTTGAAGCACTTATTCATGAAGATCAAAGACTACAAATTTCAATATGAATTACACCTTAACATTTAACAAAAACAGATGCAAGACTGAAGTTGTCAAGGATTTCATTGATCTACAATCAAGGCCCATAGAAGCAGTAGTCAGGAAATCAAGTTGTATTGCATTAGGCAAATCTGTTGCAGAAGGCTTCTTTAAAGAGTAAAGATGTCACTTTGAGGACTAAGGTATGCCTGGCACAAGCCATAATATATTCAATTGTTTCAAATGCATGTAAAAATTAGACAGTAATAAGGAAGACCACAGAAGAAATCAATGGATTTGAATTATGGTGTTGGTGAAAAATATTAAACGTACTAGCGATTGCTAGAAGAATGAACAAATCTGTGTGGGAAGTACAGCCAGAATGTTCCTTGAAAGCAGGAATGGCAAGACTTCATCTCATATTTTGGACATGCTATTAAGGCGGAACAGAGCCCTGGTGTGGTGCTGTGGGTTAACGAGCTAGACTGCTAAGCCGTTTGAACTGCAAGGTCGGCAGTTCAAGCTCACCAGCTGCTCCTTGGAAACCCTACACAGGGTCGCTATTGATTCGACGGCACTTAACATTAAGGCAGACCAGTCTCTGCAGGACTCTGCTTGGTAGAGGGCCAGAGAAAAAGAATATCCTGGAGATGGATTGACAGAGGAGCTTCAACAATGAGCTGAAAAACAGCAACAATTGTAAGGATGGTGCAAGACTGATTAGGCAGTGTTCCATTCTGTTGTACATAGGCTTACTGAGTCAGAATCAACTTGATACCTAACAATACTAATTCCTAAGATTTCATTTCTTTCCTTTCCATAGGTCTTTTCTATCTGAAAACCCCCAGTTTTTATTATCAGCTTAGGAATTTTTTTTGACTCTGTCTCCATTTTTTTCAAAACTGTTATTAGATAAATGTTGGATCTCTGAACATGACCACCATGATTTTCAATGTTATTTCCCATGTCTTGATTGTTTTGCTATGTTCTAGATTTTCACAATTTATTTCTTGCAGGCCACTAAGCTTTCTTGGTGTCACTTAAAAAAAAAAACACCCAAAATTTTTTATTGCAGATTATTTTACATCTGAAAAAAATGTATTTTATTTCACTGATTTCAATTCCATTAATGTAACATCATTGATCCTACTTCCTGTTACTATTCCTGCTTTCCCACATATTCTGAATTTTGTCCTTTGGTAAATTGTGGCCTTTTGATTGCAAATGGTTGACCATTTTATGATGTATGCACCTCAGTAGTGTTGCTGTTCTCCCTATATAACTAAGCTATTGCTTGGCTAAAAACTAAGCCACAGCAGTGAATTCAGTTCCAGACCTTAAGGGTGATCAACGTTCTATCAGTGACTATGTGACCAGTAAGCCTGTTCTTTGTTATGATTCTGAGTTTTGTTTCACTTTTTCCCCATTTTACATAGGACTTTGAGAGCAGTAGGTCATGGTTGTCAGGCACCATCTTGTACTTCTGGTCTCAGGGTTGTGGAGACTGATGTTCATGTGATCCATCGGACTATTTCCAAGTGTCTTTGATTTTCATAGCTTTTTCCCTTCAGACAAGGAGAACAGTTGTTGCATCTTAGATGACTATGAGCTTTTATGATTCCAGTCCCTGCTTTGGTGTTAGTTTTAGGCATCTCTTTTTAATTAAAAATTTTTTAAACTTCAAAAACTTTCCTACTCTGTTCCTTATACATGAAAATCAGTGTTTTTTACATGAATGCAGCTTCTCAAATTTTTCTGAAGGGAGCTATTAAAAAACATTTGTTACATGATAAAGTAGCTTTTTCCCCACTCAAAACTTTACTGATGCTATGACCTTGCTACTTTAGGTAACTCCAAAATATTCCACAGATATATGGCTTTTGTTGTGATGAAAAGTCTGTTACATGAAGTTGGCTTCCTTTTAGAATCTCTGGGTATTGTTGCTGTTATGTGCCGTGGAGTCGATTCTGACTCATAGCGATCCTGTACAGGGTTTCCGAGGCTGTATATCTTTACGGGAGCAGAAAGCCTCATCTTTCTCCCGCGGAACAGCTGGTAGTTTTGAACTTCTGAGCTTGTGGTTCGCAGCCCAATTCGTAACCACTACGCTACCAGAGCTCCTTACAGGGTTAAATTAATTTGGAAGGGTTGGGGAAAAGTATCTCCTTAACCAAATGTCTACCTGTGCCAGAGTAGACTCAACAAAATGTGAGGTAAACATGACTACTGCTGTTGCTGTTATGTGCCGTTGAGTTGGTTCCGACTCAGCGACCCTGTATAGGATTTCCAAGGAGCCACTCACTTGAGTGTCTGAACCACCGACCTTGTGGTTCAAACAGACCTTACGTTTGAGTGCTTACCTTTCAGTGTCATACCATGACTATGTTGTTGTTGTTGTTATGTGCCATGGAGTTGGTTCTGACTCATAGTGACCCTGTACAGGGTTTCTGAGGCTGTAAATCTTTACAGGAGCAGAAAGCCTCATCTTTCTCCCACAGCTGGTAGTTTCGAACTGCTGACCTTGAGGCCTGCAGCCCGATTCGTAACCACTACGCTACCATGACTATAGAGCTAAATAAATGTATTTTTATAATAAAAAAAAAAATGAGTGGATTGAAAAATGAGTAGACAGTGAACAGACGACCAAAGATATCCATTTTTTGGACACATTTTTTCCTTTAAAGTGGCTTGTAGATCTCTTATTAATCAAGATGTCCTCTTCCCATTTTGTCAAAATTCCTTTTAAAAATGAAACTTAAGTACAGAGCAATTACACAGCACACAGATTGCCTTTTGAGGATTGGTCTCTCAATTACACCTACACTTTATGCATTTTCTGTAGCCAGGCACTGACTGAGTTCACAATCACATACTTCATCTACTCATCATCCCTCCCCCACCAAGCATTAACTGTGAAGCCTCTAGCTGGTACAGAGTTCAGCCAGCAAAGGTGTTGTCACCAGAAAAAACCCCATAAGCTTAAATAGGACAATCACTGACAAATTACAAATCCCACCAGAGGAAACTGGGAATTCCCTGACATACTACTGTAATTGAGCAAAAAGTCAAAGAAAATATTTTAAACTACATCGTTTACAATCTTTCTTGTGTGCCAGCTGAAAATAATTAACCTTGAGATGCCCACTATTTAAAAACCCTCATTTACTCAACTGCATAAGTAACAATTTTTAATTCCTCATTTTGTTTTTTACATAGTAAAGCCTTCTGTTAAATTTCTAATCTGTTTCCTTACTTAATAAGAATTTTCAATATACTGGAACGTAAAAGTATTTCTCTTCCTTCATAAATACACTGTAGAGATGCCACATAAACTTTGAAATAAATCACAACTCAGTAATTACAAATTCTCTTGCTATAAATGACTATTTCTCCAAACTTCATCAGGAACCATTTTCTGAGACAATCTCTCAAAATGGACAAATTATCTGAGATAAAATCTTTCATTCCATGAATACATCTTTTTCAGGCCATGATTTGTAAATTCAACCATTATATACTTTGTGGGAAACAGCTGACATTTAATGATAATATTTTAAAACTGTACAATTGTTTTGACATCCTTCTCCCCACCCGTAAACTTTGTCTGTTAAAATGACAGGAAAAAAAGCCAAGAAATCACAGGTTCAATGGGTTTAACGTATTTACCCTTCAGTTTGTATTTGCAGCCCCAATATTCCTTTGAAATAACAGACTTGGCAAAGGCCAGCAATAAATTTCAGGCCTCCAAAGTTTAAAAAGATCAGATTCTCTGAACAGTCTCTGTTGCAGTGGTACTTGTCCAGAATTGGTAATTCCTCATAGCTGAGGTACTTTTATGTACTAGTTAAGAAAATCGACCCCCAAAGGGGAAGAACAAAAGTCACTCAAAACCCAACAGATTAGCTGATCTCTGTCCTCTCATTACATCGTTTTGTGGTTGGTTGAACAAGAGAGAACAAAACCTAACCTGAGTTACAAAAAAAAAAAAAACAAGACAGTGATGGCTACAAAGGAGTGACAAGGAACAACTGAGATACTCTTTCACCCACCACATCCTACATATGCAGCTTTACAGAACCCCCTCTCCCCCCACCAATTAAAACAGCTAGATTTCCAAATTCCATTCATCCAAGGGTGGGAGGCAAGAAGGGGAGGTAGAAGGATAAATGGCATAGGAAGAAAAATATCAGTCCAGGCACAGAGTCCCACAAATGCTAGAAAATAGCTACAGAAAAACCTGTGGTATTTTCAGACGCAGGGTGTTAAAAATCCACATACTGGTTATCAGTAAGATTTTGCCTAAGGGCTCCAGAAACAAAAACCCCAATTCCTCGGAGAAGAGAATATGCAAAGGGCTCTTGGCAGAGTGGGTCCTACATTCCCTGGGTAGAGAGAGGCAAACAGGAAGATCTGCCACAGCGTCACAATCCTGCCCAGGCCCTGGAGAAGCAGTTGAAGTCAGTGGCCTGCAACAGCCTTCAGTTTAGCAGGAGATGGATGTGGTGAGGGAAACTTCTCTGAAGAAGTTGAGCTACTCAGAGCAGACTGCAGGTAGATCGTCTTGTGGAAAAGTCTGTTGCTTAAGAAGACCACCAAGGAGAAGAGGCGCAACTGAAAAAGG